TTTCATATCTGTAGCATCAATATTGACGGAGTTATTCACGTTTAAAATTTTATATTAAATTATAATTATAAAAATCACATGACTATGATGTAATTTTGACCATTTCGACTTTAATTTCGACTTTTGACCTTTCCAAGTCGAAATATTTCTACTTTTGGGCTTTAATTTCAACTTCATGTATATGTTCGTAGGCTCACAGGTATATAAAGTTCTAAGGTGAGGTTCAATTCCTCAGTGAATTTGACGTACTAGTGGTGATCCCTGAGTAACTGGGTTGGTTACTTATAATAAAGGGGTGATTCCAGTACCCTTAGCAGCTTACTGTTCTGGTAGTCACTGCTATTACTACTGGGGGATTTACAACTATGGTGGGCTGGTATGGTAATTACAGCCTGTAGTGGGCTTTGAGTAAGGCCATATTAGTAGTCTTGGTATTGCAGTACCTCTAAGCTAACCATCATGGAAGGACTTCTAGATGTCTGCTCTGTTATATCTGCTGTACATAGGTGGTTGTTTACTTCTGACAGGCGCTAGTGGGTAGTATAACTGTGTCAGAAACCTTGCTACATTACGATCTATCCTTGTGTGGGTATAAACTTGGGTCGTCTTCCTAGTGTGGTATATAGGGGGTAGGGGGATGAACATCTGGTTACTTCTAAATAATTAGAGTAGGTTGTTTGGTTATCTGTCGCTCAACGGTAGGAGTGCAACTTTAGTTGTAGTGCTTCCTCCATATAGATCTGGTGAGCCGGCTATGATGATGTCTCCTAAAACATAAAAAAAAAAAAAAAAAATAATAACTATAGATAGATTATATTGTGACTATATAGAATAGATTTTAATAATAAAGTGTTTTGAACATTTAACTGGTGTGACTATATAGTAGAATGTGACTATAACAGGAGTGACTATAGAGGAAGTTGACTGTATAGATTAATAATTATTTATAAAATAAAAAAATTTATTTTTTTTAAATATAAAGCTCTATTGATTATATTAAAAGTACTGTTCTAATGAGTTGGTATGTCCAAAATTACCTTAATTTACTAATTTTATGAAGTTCACAATTAGAACTCAACTTTTCTTAATAAAGTGTTCTACAGCTACAGTATAAGATTTTTATAGCCTTAATTAATTACAGTATATAAAAATTTTATGTTACAGCACTTTTTTGAATTACGATTAACATCTTTAAATATAAGATAGTAAATTAAAAATAGGAATTTTATTTTTTTATTTTTTTTTTCACTAAGAATACATAGTGAAATTTGATAAATCAGATTTTTGATAAACTGAATTTAGGCTTAAACTGGACTTTTTTGCTAGAACCAAATCATGTATATTAAAATAGTTTCGATATATCAGAGTTTACTAGTAAAAGCTCGATATTTGCTATAACAAATCAATTTTCTAACCAGCTATAATAAAAATAATTTGATTAACTGAATCATATAATAATTAACCAATAAAATTTAAGTCAATAAATCTTAATTTTGAACAGAATTATAAAAATTTTAATTCTGGCTGAAGTTATATATTACTTAAAAACATTTTATATTCATTTTCGTGACCTTTATGACTTAAACTAGATTGAAAAAATTAAAATATAGTGTACATTAATTTTATTAGTATAAATTTTTTAAAAAAATTTAGTATAATAGATTTTTAATATATCAAAATTTTTTCGCTATATCAAATATCCTGATAAACTGGATATTTTTGGTGAAACTGATAGATCTGATATGATTCTTGGCATTTAAAGTTTATCACATGGTTTTTAGTGCCACAATGATATCACTTGTAGTTTTTAGTTGTGTAACATTTTTTCAATTTTGATTTTTGCTTATAGTACTTTTCCCTGAATTTATATAGTAATTCACTGCTAATCATAGGCGGATCAGGTCTTAATGAAAAAAAACTTTAAACTAAATTCTTTTTTCTGTAATGTACCTTGTATTTATTTCATCTTAAAAAATTTAAAGAGCCATTTTTTAAAAAAAAATCAATGAATGTTATTAATAAAAAAAAAAAATACAAAAAAGAATAAAATTTTCTTCTTTCCTGTTTACTTTACATTCATTTGTTTTAGAATGCCATTTTTCAAAAAAAAAAATCAAAGAAAAATATTAGTAATATACAGTGAAATTTAATAAATCAAAGATAATACTTCACATATAATAAACTTGTAAAAATACGTAAAATCTGAGACTAACCATGTCTCAAGTAGTCAAGTACATGTTATTTTATTAGAAACTGGCTCACTTGTAGAAAACCTTTACTATGGACCTTTTTCACGTTATTGGTGAGAAGTTCCAAGTATTTCTGACTTACATACTACTACCCAAATTTCCCATTAGAGTAGATCAAAAAATTAGTACACGTTTAAATGAACGTGATTTTTATATAACAATACAAAATCCTAGTTCTGATTCCATGTTACCTGAATATTACTATCAAAGTTGTGATTTTTTTGTTATAGAAACAAGTGCAACTAAGGCAATTTCCAAAACATATCAAAATATTTTTCAAAATAAAATACGTTATTCTGATCATGTTGTTATGGAATGGAATAATAAAACATAATAGATGTTCTTTCATCTAATATTGATTTTTATTCATTTACATGTCAACTTGGTGATTATGGGATATTTATTTATGGATTGGTTCATCTACATGTTCGGATTGGAATAAAGCAGGCAATAGTTACAAATCATCACTTATTTATTTGTATAAAAAACGTCCAGCTATATTTGTATCCAAAATTGAAGATAATAAATGTCACATATGTATTTATCAAGATTTTAAACTTCAAAAAACATTTGTGGAAGCTATTCCAAATAATGTTTGGAAAAATTCAGGTTTTATTCAAAAATTTTCAGGAATACAACTATTTGGGTTGGAAGATGAGGTTATATTACAAAAATTAGTCAAGATACACATTTCACAATATGCTTCTTACGAATGGGATAATTTTAATCTAATGAAAAAATTATATGAATATCATCTTCAGCGTCAGACTTCTAGCATTGAATGATATAATTTATTTGCCAAATGGAATCAAAATGAATGTAATATAATAGAACTGATCTCAGAATTAAAGTTATTATATCCACAAGGACACCAATTTTCTGATCGTAAGCTAGATGCATGGCTTTACTTTTTTATAACAATTAATTCCATCTGACTTTAATAGTCATAAATAGTTATAAAGCCTTTAAGATTATTAGAGGATTGTAAGCATAAACTTATAATTTACTTTGAAAAATAAGAAGATTTTAACAATTTTATAGGAAGAAATTAAAGGCAAAAAGTTAGATTGGTAATTTGGTATCATCATATTTCTTCTTACTTTATTAAAAAATCTAAAGATAAATTAAGAAATTAATAAAAAGAACTTGCTTTCTTTATAATGTTTAAAAAAAAAATATATTAAAAATATACAATTAAGAACTAATAAGAAATGCAAGGCATCTAATAAAATATTATTGTTTGATATATAAATAAATATATGAAAGAAAAGATATAATTTATGATTTTTTATTTAAATTTTTATATATGATTTTTATTAATAAATATTACTAAGCAATTGTTGCAACTGTATTACTAAACAACAGTTACAGGTATTCTTATAGTGAGAGGTGTATATACATCTACCTGCTAAAAGTATCCAGACACCTCTAAAAAATGACCATTAAATTACATTATTTTGACGTCCAGTGATCAGAATTTAACGATTTATAATTCATTGGATTCGTCTAATTAAGACGCATCTAACCGCAGTATTTTCAAGTCTGTAAGTTCAATAGATCAGAAGTTATTGCTAAATGTCTAAAAATAGTAAAATGTAAATAACTTTTGATCTATCAATTCTAGAGACATGAAAATAATAGATACCATGTATCTTAACAAGACAAATCTAATGAATCATATTTCATCTTTCTAAGTTCAATAAAGAAGAATCGAAAATGGTTTGAAATTTGTATATGTTGTACGTCAGATGTCGATTTGCATCAGATGACAACTGACATGCGTTAGATGCTAATTTTGAATAGTTTCTTATAAGTAAACATTTTTATTTATTAATTAAATTGTCTTTCATTTTATAAGTAAATCTGTGTACCATAATTATTTGCGTATATCCTGAACCATTAATGTTTAATGCTGAATTATATATCAGCTAATATCGTAGATAATGTTATTCAAAATTTTAGCTATAATTAAACATAAAATTTTTCAGTCTTAATGTGCCTTTATTGCCTAAGTAAATTAGTTCATCATATTTTTAAATATATAATGCTAAAATTTCAACATGTTCAGATTCATATTGGTGGAAATTTCCTTCTTTAAAATATGCAGTTATTATCTGACGCAAATCGACATCTGATGCATAACATATATGTCAAATTTTTAAAAGTGAATAATGAATTATTTTAAGGTTGCGGGCTAAACTGGTTTTTGAATTTGGAAAAACGTCTAAATCTCAGTTTCGTCAATTTTTTTATAAGAGTTTATTATAGTTTTGTCATTTTATATGATTTTTATAGTCAAGTTTCGCCAAATTTTTATTAATATTTTAATATAGTTTTGTCAAGTTTCACATTTACTATGGGGTTTCGCCTGTAACCTTAAATTATTTGCATTTTACTGTTGAAAATAACATATGATCCATCAAATTTAGAGATATAAAAACACTGCAATTAGATGCATCTTGATAATATGAATTCATTGAATCATAAATAATTTAATTCTGTTCACTGGTTATTGAAATAATGTGATTTAACTTTATGAAGTAATTTATTTTTTATCTTTAAAATTTTAGCAAATACAAATTTCACAATGTTTTCTTCCCTATTAAACTTAAAATGATGAAATATGATTCATTAGATTTATCTTGTTAAGGTACATTGTATCAATTATTTTCATGTCTCTAGAATAAAGATGTTAGCCATAATTGATTGGCTGATGCCATAATATTACAGCATACAGCAGTGATGTGTATTGGAAGATTGGAAGCTATTGGAATCTTCCAATTCTTCCAATTCCAAACCTTCCAACGCCAATAGATTTCTATTGGAAGATTGGAAGCACTTAATTCACGTGACATATTTTTTATTCAATAGAAATATTTATTGACATTTATTAATAAAACTTTAAAAATATACATTTAAAAGTTTGAGCAACTAAATTTTATTTAGCAAATTATGTTATATATAAACTGCTGTAACAAATAATGGGAAAAAACAAACATTATTATTTAAATTGATTCATTTGATAAGTATTTAGGAATATCAATAACAGAACTAAATAAAGTTTTAAGATCCCATTTTGCCCTAGTATCAATTGCCGGATGTGTATATTCTGTCAAAAGGTCACCTCTCAAACTTCCTGGATTATCTCTTAAGGCTTCTTCTTCTTCCAATCGGGATACCTCTTCTTCTATTAACATTGATTCCCATTCAGCAAGTTCATTTTCCCAACGCTTAGAAGTTATAATATTTTCATCTCCAGTAATTTCTTCATCATCTATAGGATTTTGTTGTAAATTTTCTGCAGAATCATCAACTGGTTTAGCATTTAAATCAAAAAACTCCACTTCATTTTTTTGCAATTCTTTTTTCCTAAGTGAGAAATTAATAGATGCACGAAGTTTACTCATTGATAAAACTTTGTCATTCTAAAAAATTAATTAAATTAGCAAATTTTAAATAACTATTATTAAAATTTATTAATAGAACTTACATTCAATCGGTTACGACGATTCGTATGCAAAAATCCCATGGAAGACCACATGCGTTCTACTGAAGCAGCATTTACACAGATTCCGAAAATTCTTAGAGCAATACTGGCTAATTCTTTATAATCACCTTTAATATACTTCCAGAACTTGAATACATCACCACCAAATTGTCCAAAAGTTTCATCATCAAATGGTTCAATTTTTTAGCGATAATCCTCAAAATCTAACAATAAACGGGTTGGTCTTTTCTGGAACCACGCTTTATAATAATATGTTAAATAGCGTCCCAATGTAGTAAATGACAAATTTTCAATACTAGGATTGAAATATGTAAGCCGATACTTTGGATGGAGCATAAATGAAAGTAAAAGTAATGGCTGCTCCCATTGATTCCACCTTTTTTCTAATCTTTCTATCATTTTTTCTCCTAATTCAATATTTGGAAACTGATTCCAAAACTGAATAAAATATCCTAATGCATGAAGTAATTCAAAAAGACGTGCTTTGTCACTTTGAAGCTTATTTAAAACGCCACAATAAGGTAATAAAACTTCTTGTAAAGATTCTATTGTATTCCACCAATCATTATCAAGAAGAATTTTACAAATGTCTTTATTCAAATAAATTTTATTGGTATTATTTGATGTTGAAGTACTTGCTTCTGCTGGTGTAGATTGTGAACGCTCATGCCGAATTGCCAAATTCTAAAGAATATTAATAAGAATAATAAATTAACTAAATGAAATGAATCAAATAATATTAAATTTAAGAAAATTATATTACCCTTAATGCCTGTTTAGATCGAATTAAACTTTTAAAACAATAGAAATGGCTGTTCCACCTAGTTTCGCATGGAACCATAATTGAATAATATTTATTATATAATTCTTTTTGTATATCACGTAATTTACCGATAAAATAGCTATTATTTCCATTTTTAAAATATGCTGATACTGTGATTGCTTTTGCTGATGCACTTTTTAATGTAAGTGATTCTTTAAAGATATCACAGATCGCTAACTGACATTGATGTGTGAAACATGGTAAGAAAATAATATGAGGATATTCTAACCGAAGTCGTCGTCTAAAAGATGAATAAAAAAAAAATATGAGTTATTTTTCAGTAATAATAATATAAAATGCTTTATAAATCAAATTTACTTAATTCTTAACGAGCTCCAGCATAAGCTGCTGCACTATCTGAAATTATAGCAATTACTTTTGCACCTAAGTCAACTCCTGCATCTTTAATTAAATCCTCAATTTTAGGAATTATTTCAATCATACGTTCTCTTTCACTGCTAATATCTGATGAATTCCATATTAAAATTTTACCCGAAGATGTAATAAATAATGATCCAAATATATGCTGATTTAATACATTCTTCCATCTATCAAACGCTAATGTTACACCAATCTGATCATTACTTAATTTTTCATTTTGTAATTTATCTATACTTTCCGTTTCATTATTCAATATACGATTTGATAGTACTTTTCGTCCTGATAAAATTAGGTGTGGATTTAAAAACTCAAATAAATCTAATGTTGCTTGATTTCACTGGTAAAAAAATGATTTATCCTACACATATCTTACACATATTGGGTACTCAAAATGTAGAAAATCATACACAAATAATACACATATCATACACATATCGGGTACTAATATATATATCATACATATATCAGGTACCTGATAGGTATACTATATATATAAGTACCCGATATGTGTATGATATGTGTATTATTTGTGTATGATTTTCTACATTTTGAGTACCCGATATATGTAAGATATGTGTAGGATATGTGTAGGATAGACCATTTTTTTACCAGTGTTTTTGATCCATTGAAGTGGAAATCCATTTGATACTGTTACTCTTAATAAAAGACGTTCAAAAACAGGTTGCTCTTTTTTTGTAGGCGTCCGAACAAGAATATTTCCCATTACATTATCACCAGTTTTAACTGGATGAAGATGGCGTTTAGATAACGTTGTTGATGTTGAGACAAAGGACTGAGCTGAAGAAATTTCTCCTTCTATTGTTTTAAAAAATACAGTATCAAGATTACTTTGCATAGATTCCAAGTATCTTAACACCTTTTCTCTTCCAATCTTACCAGAATCTGAATCTGCTATTAAACGTTTTTTCTTTGCAATTTCCTCACTTTCATTGTCTGTTAGATTAATAATAGCATCTACTTCTTTCTGACTACCAATTTTTTCCCGAAAAAATGCACAATTTTTTAAATGATTTTTTACTTGCAGTTTTTTATTTGTAAATGTAAGCTTTGAC